ATTCTGGACATCTGGTATGCATGTTGTGTCTTTCCTCCTCTGTACAGGATTTATAAAGCAGGTTGGAGCAAAGCTCCATACTGTATGCACATTAACACACTGGTACTGTTTTGCACTACTGCTGCAGCCTGTGAGAAAATTGTCAGGCATTTTATTTTCCTTTTTCAAAACCCTTCTTCTTTTCTGCAGCTGTGGTAGTTTCAGCTCGCTTTATTTGTCTTGCGCTGTGCTGTTTTATGTGAACTTGGTCTGCTTCATGAAACGGAGGCCTCATGGCTTCACCTCCATCCCAACATGATTCATGATTGTGTTGAGTGCACAGTACAGCTGCGATGTGGAAAACCAATTTTCAGAAACTCTCATGTGATATTCCATCACTGCCACAGAGTTGGTATGGAAACAAGTATGTGTTATTTTCCGCGTATCACCAAAACTTCAGCGTGAACATCATGGGTTAACGTTGTTGGGAGGAGTGTTTGTGATGGCAGCCTGAGTTATGGCAGCAGGTTAAATGTCAAGCTGACTGGTGGTTTGTGGTCGGGCTGATGGGGTTCTGTTGATACGGTCGTGAATAAGGATTCCCAGTGCAAACAAAACATCACTTCTGTTTAAAGAGAAATGCTGATGTAATGGATTTCGGAGGCTGGTAAACTCACTGGTACTGTTGCACTTCCTTCTATTATATGATTCTCACGTCAGCCCCCTGTTCTCAAGGCTTTTATCTTCTTCTACAAGGAAGTAATTAGTCAAAAGCCTGCATCTTATATGTTCTTGTTTTGTTTTTCAGTGGTCACCAGGACATAAAGCACTGAAGTGGATTTGTCTCCAAACACAAATTAAAGTATTAGTGGATTTTATTTTAACCACAGTAAAGCAGCCGCTGTCACATTTTTTATTTATTTTTTTATTGCTGGATTAGATAACAGGGCTGGAACAGGCCCAGGGTCTGACAGTGGTTTTACAGAGCCAGAGACGACAGATGTTAGATGAGTTTGAGTTAATTATGGTGCAGTTTGCATCGATGTGTTTTGTTTAAATAAAAATAGAAAAAAAAAAAAAATCAAAAGTATTTAAGTGTGCATGAGGGAAATTAGAAAGACAGGTGTGATATTTTCAAACAGTGACACGTCAACAGCTTTGACAGCTGTTCCGTTGTATTTGATCAGGTTTTTTTAATGCTCAAATTTTCTGTGACTTACCATTGTGAAAGTGAGCTTACCAGGGCAGTGGTTTTATCGTGGGTTGATAATGGAACTTCCAGAATGCCACTTCTCTAACTACATTTTCAGAACATCTCTACATTTCTAACATTATTATTTGATGTTTTTTGTTTATATATATTTTATTTTATTACAAAACTGAAGGCATTTATAGCCTTTAATTGTGTGGACAACACAATATATTCTCTTTGATCCTCATAATTATAAAACTGAAGGCATTTATAGCCTTTAATATATTCTGTTTGATCCTCATAATTCCAAACCCAGTTACGGGCTGGAGTGGATGGTTCAGTGGGCTTTATTTGGCCCGCGGGCTGCCGGTTGATAATCACTGCTTTAAAGCCTTAGTGTCATAGAGCAGCTTCATGTTTCTCAAAAGAAAAGCATCCATAGAAGATTCTGTTATATTGATTTATTTTCAAAATCAAGGAAACGTCCTTGCTGTCGCTTCAGATAAAATATTTACCTTCCTTGACACCTATATCTCTAACAACATTAATTCCTAGTAAACCTTTGTAATACAGCTCCTCATCCCTATCTCTCTCCTTCTCTGACCACTGCATTAGGGTGTGTTGTTTATATTTTGGGATTTTGTAAAGAACTCCCATGTTCCAACCACTACTACCCATCCACTCTGTGACACATGTGGTTCTCAGATAGTGAATCATGCAGCTGGCATGTTGAAGATATGAAGAATGTAAAAATCGTAGACTCCACACGAAATCGAGCTGCGTGCTGCTCTGTAGAAGGTTTTTGTTTGTGCTTTTTGGGTTGCTGAAGGTCATGTGGTGGATTCTTGGTTCAGTGAAGGGTAAGTGTGAAATGATGGTTCTGTTGGAACGTTTGGTTCATGTGTCAAACAAGACGAATAAGAGCATATCCTCTGGAAGAAACCACACGCTTCTTGAAGCCATTTTGAAGATGCAGGATTTACGATATAGCTGCTGCAGTATTTTATCTTTTTAAAAGTAAATCTGAAGACAAAATAGTTACAAAACATGTAAATGTTTGAGAAGACAAAACTTAACAATTTTGTGTGATAATTAAAGAAGTTTTTTTTTTTCCCAGAATTCCATGAACCTCCCACCAGACAAAGCCCGACTTCTGAGACAATATGACAATGAGAAGAAATGGGATCTAATCTGCGACCAGGTACAATAAAACAGTCCTAATCCCACAGTTCAGATTAACACACACACCTGTCTTTTTAACACCCAGGTTTAAAGTTACATTACGATCTGTTCTTCGTGTCCTTGTCTTCAGGAGAGGTTCCAGGTGAAGAATCCACCTCACACCTACATCCAGAAGCTGCGAGGATACTTAGACCCTCGAGTCACACGCAAGGTGGGGTCTTACCCTAATGACCTTTATACAAGTGCACTTCTGTTAAGTAACACGAGGATGATGGTGGAATAAAAACCAACATAATTTGTGTGTTAATTCTGTCTTACAGAAGTTTCGGCGGCGAGTCCAGGAGTCTACAAAAGTCTTGAGGGAGCTGGAGATATCACTGAGAACCAACCACATCGGGTAAGAGATTCTGACAGATTCAATAATCGTTAAGCGACCCCCGAAAAAACTAGAGTCTAGTGGTGGATGTGGATGTTCTGGGTAAAATATCCCTGACTTCACCAGACTGAGAGAATAGAAGTCCATCCATCCATTTTCATCCGCTTATCCGTTACCGGGTCGCGGAGGCGGCAGTCGCCACCCAAATCACATTGCACCGCACCAACCCCCCCAAGCCTTCCTGCAGGTGGTGAGTCCACTGGAAGGTACCAACCGCCCTAACCGGGATTCGAACTTTCCCAGGAGGTGAACCCTGGGGTTCCACACCAATGACAGAGACATTGCCTCTGGGCCAAAGCACCACAGAATAGAAGTCATCTTAAATTATTATAAAAATATCAATAAATATAGGTTTGTCCACTGTTGGCCCATGAAGAAACATGGTGATCCAACATGGTCGCCTCATTAGAAAAGTCCTGATCCCAATGTAAATAAAACAAGACTAAAGGGATCAATAATTCAATCATTCAAAATATTATGTATATTATAACACCTACATCCTCAGCAAAAGTGTTTTTATTATATTCCATTTCTGCCCATTTAAATGGAATTTAACTTCCACTCAAATGATGAATGACTCAATTGCACCTTCAAGAAAGACCCACAATTGTTGTTCTTGTCTCCTCTAAAGAAGTTGTGCTCTGCCTGCTCTCTAGTGCCCTGATCTCTCTTCCATTGTTTTAAGCTGCCAAGCTCCACTTCATGGAGCTGCTGCTCATAATGCCCAGATGGTAGCCATTGTGCTGCCTCGTCCACTCCCCCATAGTGTAGAGCAGGAGGCTTTGTTGTCTATGCCAGAGGGACAGGAAGTCTGGCTGACCAATGCTGAACCATGTGAAAAACACAAATACACACATTCTCTCTCACACACAGGCAGATGATTTTATGATTTTTTTTTTTACATTCCTCATGTTCTAAAAAACAAAACCGTGCAAGATTTTACTGTAGATATTTCATACTTTACAGCGCATGCTAATATCCCAGGCCCTTTTTTCGTGTGTAGTTGACATGCATTTGGACAATCATCAAATACTTCTCTGTAACAAAGTAGGCAGTGAGAAACTGAGCCTTATAAAAAGCACAGTGATTTAGTATAGCATTCACTGAGCTCCAAAAGCAACTTATATTCCACATCATTCTTCATCAATAAAGCCCAGCTTCAATTTATTTCCCTGGAAGACTGAAAGGCACAAAGGGGAAAAAAGGAGTTCTATTTTCAGAAGAGACTTCTGTGGGTGGAATCAAATGTAACAGATGCTGCTTTTTTTGGGTGTCTGGTCCTGGGCCCATTCTAATGTGTTATTTCTCAGATCGCCAAGAAAATCTGAAATATCAACTAGCTGGTGAAAAGTCAGGAAGGGGGCAAGAGAGGAAGGAGTGGAGTGTCAGGGGTGAGGAAGGAGAGACAGGGCCATGGTGAGAAGGGGGAGTTAGACAGGAAACTGATGATCAAACTTGCCTCCATGTCCCCTCCTCCGTCTCCTCTCCCCCCCTACACACGTCTCACTGCTTTGTTTGCTTTCCTCTGTTCCCTTTGCTCACCTCTCTTCTCTTGTCCCCCTCCTTTCCCCACTCACCTCCTCTTTCCACCTCCCCTCTACTATGAGCCCCTGATTGCCTTCCTGTCATTGGCTCACCAACAGTCCGTCATCTTGTGCAGAATTTCAGAACTATTTTAAGAACCTTTTACCCCAATCCTGTCACAATCTCCCCACCCGTCCTCAGACAGGGGAGGAAAAGGGGTTCTCTGGGGGGAGATTTAGAGTGAGCCCAGCTCCTCCAGCCATGTACCCTCCACATTCTTTCCCTCATCGTGAGGAAACTTCCTTTGTTTCGTCCCGATTCTCACTTTAGAAAATTGAAGTTAAATGGAGTGGGGGTTGTGAGAGCTGGGAGTCTAATGGCTCTGGCTTTAGTTTCCTTTCCACTGCAATTATTTTTGTAATTTTCTTCATGGAAAAAATGTATTCAAAATTAATTGTAATGACCCTTAATTGTAATGAAAATAATTCATTTTTGTTTAATTCTTTTTGGTCACATTGTTGATGTTTACATATTACTGTGACTCCTAGTGAGAGTTAGTTATTTTTACTGTAGATTTAGACAATTTCTCCGACCCACCACTTCTTTTTTCACCCATGGTCCTGTTTTTATTTTCATTTTTGAGTCTGTACATCATGTAGAAATACCAAAGGGTTGCTACTGAATCCCAAAAGAAAAACTACATTGTACAAAATGAAAAAAATCTAGAATTTATAGATGTAATAAATCTGAAGCTCCCTAATACAACATTCATGTGAAATAACAACTCAAGATGGCAGAAATGGAAATGGAAAAAAGAAGTTTTACTTCTGCTTGAATGATGTAAAAGTATACCATTTCCCCAGAATTCACTTTTTTTTACCACAAGCGTGTCTTCTACCAGTTAAATTCAACATATTTTTACAGTAGTCCGCAGTAAAAAAAAACTCAGAGCTACCGTCATGTTTAACTACATTCTTTGTTGACTATGGTTATTTCAGTATTTACACTCACACTAGTATATAGTATACTGATGTATATCTTACAAAGTGAACTATTTAAAGAACAGTCAAAAATGATCGGGTGTGTCCTTGATCTGAGTGACCTTCTGACCTTCTTTGTTCTTCTTTGTCACAGGTGGGTCAGGGAGTTCCTCAATGATGAGAACAGAGGTCTTGACATCCTGGTGGAGTATCTATCCTTTGCTCAGTGTGCTGTCATGTGAGTAATTTAGCACTTTTTACTTTGCACTCCTCCACACACGCACACTTGCGCACACCTCAAGCCCATACTGTAGTAAAACACTGTTAGGATTTGGGTTGGGCAGTGAATCCACTTGCTGGTTTTAACACACCGAGTCCTGCAATTTAAACTGCTTGTGCATCTAAAACGCGCTACTCCAGATTTGCACTCTTGGGTTTTGTTTGTATGCTTTGTTGCATACTTGGCAACGTGAACGTGTTTGTTTACAGATGCTATGTGGTGGAGTCTCGGGCTGTGTTTTGACTGAATGGTCTGAAACTGTGTGCTGAGCTTTATCGTGCAGCTTGATGACAGTTCTGGTGATAACCCTTGGCACCCCCAGGCTGCCTCACTTGTGTGGCCCCCCCCCACCCCCCCCCCCCCCCCCCGCCTCTGTGTCGGCCTGTCTGTGTGTTTATGTATGGCTCAGGTTGGATTTTGAAGGGCTGGAGAATGGGGAAGAAGGCTACTTGGACAAGACTAAGTCTTGGAGCAGGTCCATAGAGGATCTGCACCACACAGGCACACAACCCTTCTGCAACACACTGGTGCGCTCTGCCCGCCAGTCTGTCCTCCGGTACGTATCGCTACTCCAGCTTCCCTGTCGCATTTCCCTGGTGTTGCCCCGCTCTGCTAACCTTGAATGCTGTAAATATTTATTAGCATGCCAACATGTTGTCATGGTGCTGTATTTGGTGACACATCTGATCTGAACCTGGTGGGTGAGTGACTCATTTGACCTGAGGTCTCGTCACAATGTCAGTCATACGATGAGCACTTTAAGAGATAGAAAGTGGAAGTCTTTGACCTTTGTTTATCTTCCTCCCACATCTGTCCACATGTGTGTCTTCAGATGAGAGCCAGCTGTCAGCAGCAGCAGCACATGTGTTATTTTCTCCTGTCATTTAACTCCAGACAAACAACACACAGAGACATTAAAGGACATCAGACATATTCTGAAACACTGAGATGGAATATTTCTAATAAAACCTAAAGTTTTGCAATATTATATCTTAAAAAAATCCATATTCTTAATAAAAATCCATATCTTAATATGGATTTTGTTATACAACAAAATCCATATTAAGAATAACGTTATCTAACATGTAGATAATACATGATTAACATGATTAAAAAATGGTTCATAAACCATTGCAAGCTACTGTTAAAATAAATTCACCAAAACTAAAGAAGTCACAATGTCTGTGCTGTTTGCACGGGCAGGAAACGCTCTCAGAATGCATCTGTAACCTCAAACACCATCTCAATTATGTCGTATCACAGTTTTTGCTCTATTTTTTTTCTGTTATTTTTATCTATGCTGCACACTGGAAACAACACTAGAAAAGTAGATACTATATTGACAAACCTATGATAAATAGCACTGATATAAAGTGAGTCTAAAGCTGAAGTTTAGTTGTTGAATTTCCTGCAGGTTTTAACTTTGAATGTCTGTTGCAGCTACGGCTCCATCTCCAACACCAAAACCATCAAAAACTCTCGCCTTGTGAGCCAAAAGGATGATGTGCATGTCTGCATCATGTGCTTGAGAGCAATCATGAACTACCAGGTAATACAATGCAGGAAGTGTGCATGTAGCCACCCTGCCAGACATTTTGAAGTCCTAGACTTTGAGTTAAGTGTATATTATATATATACATTTTCTGGAGAGGTTTTAGAAACATCTTGTCCTCTAACTAGATAACAATTATTTCCACAACAACAAGCAATACATTTAGCATTTAAGGTTAGCTGTTGTACCACTGGATATGACACACTTGTCCATGGCAGAACTGACAGAAATTATGTCCCGTCCCAAACTACTATTGGACCAAGTTCCTGTTACTCTGACTAACTGTTATACTACAATAATAATGTGTTTTTATTTGTATTGAATTTGGAATTATTACTAGTCCTCTCTGAGCAGCATTCTTCTTTTCTTTAATTAATTTAATTATTTTAATTGATTTAATTTCTTTGGTGGTAAAACATTAGCTGGCAGTCTTAATGTTGTATTTCTGCCACCTACTGGGAGAAACTTAACATGGTGAAACTAAATCTCACTAAATCCACCAACTGTATGGTGCCAAATTTTGAATTATAGATTTACATACATTTTTTGACATATTTTTTGATCATTCGCAAATGAATACAGGTGAAATAAATGCATCTGTTATTTGCTTTTCTCTTATAAAAACATACAAGGAAAAACGTTTTTGTAATATTTATGAAAGTTGATTAATCTCAATTAATAATGATGGTGTTGTCATGGCCTGTTGAAACCTTATAATGTAAACATATATATACATATATATATATATGTATGTATGTATGTATGTGTTTTCTCACATATATACACTCTGGTCTGACTGAAACCTTTGTCTTCTCTCTTTCCTTGTTGCAGTATGGCTTCAATATGGTCATGTCCCACGCGCACGCGGTCAATGAAATCGCCCTGAGCTTAAACAATAAGAACTCACGGTAAGATCTGAGGTTACTGTCTCCTTAGGGCTGGCTCAGACAATAGGTGAAATCCCTGCTGCCAGTTCATATGATATGTCTTTTCATTCTGAGAGGGGCTCGCCTTGTCTCTGAAGTCGGATCGACTCAGAGGTGTTCATACAGGCTGTGAAAAAAAACCTCTTATCCGTAGCAGATTAGTGGTTAAACCACTCGGGATGATCGCTTTATAATGAAGTCTTTTAAAAGTTTGAAAGACCTGCTTGTACTATAGCTGACAGTGTCAGTAAGAAATATTAATGTCAGCATTTTTTATGAGTTATACGTGCTTGCTTTCTCTTATGCTTTTTTTTTTTAATTTTACATTTTTATATATGTATTATATAAGACTTTTTCTTCTTAAAGCGTGTTCTAAATCCTGTTCCTGTTCCTCCAGCACAAAAGCCTTAGTCCTTGAGCTGCTCGCTGCCGTCTGTCTAGTCCGAGGAGGTCACGAGATAATCCTGTCAGCGTTTGACAACTTTAAAGAGGTGCTCTTAGCAACATTTTATTACACATAATTATTCACAGTTCTATACAGTGCTTATTGTTTATGCAGTGCTTATTGCTACATGGACACAGCATGCTATTAGGAGTAAAATTTTCCATTCATATGCCTTAATTTTCTCCATTACTACTGTACATAAAAGTAAACAGTAGGGAAGAGAGAAAGTTGATGCCAGTTTTAAATCCCAGGGAGGATTAGGGAGAACCCTGTGGTGACTCAGTCTGAGGTTACGAGTCTCATTAGGACACCAGATGTGAGCTAACCTTGAACAATGATAAAGATCTACTCCCTGATGGGAGGCCTGTGGACCACAGAGGTTTTCTTAGTGGTTTTTGTCTGCTCAGTCATCTGAACACCAGAACCAGTCAAAGCTCCAGGCACACGCCACATTAATTAAGTCACTAATTAAAACATGATGGTAATTTCGTGGTGGTATAGTGATAGGTCTCTAAACGTTTCTAACATGGCTGTGTCAGACCTATGTATTACTTCAAGTGTATCTCAGAGCAACTTGAAAATACTTTTCCTCTCTTCACGTTTCATCTATGGCTGCAGTAAATTTCCAACCTTTGTTTTGTTGGTGGTGTTGATTTTTCTACATGAGGATTTTAATAACGAGAAGACCTTGTTGCTCAACATGGGATGGATTATTACTGTCTAAATGATCTAAATATTTACTGCATTGAAAACTAGAACTTGTGTGTGACTGATACTTCAGGTGTGTAAGGAGAAACATCGGTTTGAGAGACTGATGGATTATTTCCGCAGTGAGGAGGGAAACATTGACTTCATGGTGAGTTGACTATCTTTATGAAGAAAAACTATTATTTTATTTTTGAATGGAAAGTTGGAGACAACTTCAATCGCTCAGAACATTTCTGTTTAAATTATTTTTTTCTCCAGTGATATATATATGTTTGTGTATCTATGTGCAGTCTTTTTGTAATACATTTGGTTCTAAATCCACTTTTCCCTGGCCCAGGTTGCTTGCATGCAGTTCATCAACATTGTTGTCCACTCTGTTGAGGACATGAACTTCCGGGTCCATCTACAGTTTGAGTTCACAAAACTGGGGTTGGATGACAATCTGGAGGTAAGAACATCAACTTAAACCTCTGCCTCATTGTTAGTAAAACATCACCAATACCGTTTTTTTTTCTCTTCTCGCTTTAGAAATGTAAACATACAGAAAGTGACAAGCTGTCGGTGCAGATCCAGGCCTACCTGGACAACGTGTTTGACGTGGGTGGTCTCTTAGAGGATGCAGAGACCAAGAATGCAGCACTGGAGAAGGTGGAGGAGCTGGAGGAGCACCTGTCTCATGTAAGTGCACTGGCCAGGTCTGGACCACCTACACTGCTCCCTGGTCTCACTTATGAGATTTGTTTGTGGTTTCCGCAGCTATGTAGTTAACTGTGTTGTTTATAGGTGGCAATTAGAAATCGACTCAATGTTTGCATTTTACAAGTGGTGTAGTTTAATGACAGGGTGCAGCACGATTGGAAACACTGAGAATGTAACAATCTTAATATTGTTCTCTCAGCTGGCCTATGCTTTCTGTGTTGTTGCCTTTGTATCCCACGCTGCTTTGCAAAGACCTTCCTCTCATGGAAAGGTCGTAGGCAGCTCTGACATCACTCAAGGAATTTCAAAACAAACTTTGTTCTCAGGGGTCATGAATGTTGGGGGAGGATGAGGATGAAGGTTCCATATGAATTCCAATAAAATGTGTGTAATGCGATAAAATTAAGTGCAGATTGCTTTGTCACGCTCCTGCTGTGTCATGCTGCCTGATATAGATCATATTTCCTACTTGATGCCCAGAGAGTGTGTGTGAGAGCAGAGAGTGAGAGAGAGTGGATCTCAGCAGAGATGCCTCTGTTATCAATAAGTCCTTCGTCTCACACGTCTCTCATCCCTCTCTGTTGTTTTCTTGCTCTTCTTTCCCAGGTGACAGAGAAGCTTCTGGAGGTCGAAAATGAAACCATGATGAAAGTGGCAGACCTGGAGAAGCTGCTCCTACAGAAGGACAAGGACTTGCAAACAATCCGGGTAAGATGTCGGCCACGATGATGTGTCACAGCTGTGACACCTGTTCTTTAGTTACTCTGCACGTTTCAGACAAGGATCTGTTTCAGATGCTTGT